GGGCCCCCTATATGACTCGGGGACCTCCTGTCTCCAGCCCTGGCACTGCCCCTCCTCCTTTCTTCACCTCTTAGCGTTGCCCTAATGTTGCTTTTCGCCTGCTGCTCCTCCACTTCCTCCTCCTCCTCCTCCTCCTCCTCCTCCGCCTGACACTGCCCCTAACTCCCATGAGCCTTTCCCCCCCTAACATTCGGGATGATCCGGGCACGCCCGAATTGCTCTCAGCGAGGCGTAGTCGCTGGAAGGCACCCGAGGCTGGAAGGCCGCCGACAACTGACGCCCACGCCCGAAAGCCTCAAGCCTTGAACCCGAAACTCCCCCCCCCCGAGCATGTCCCCCCTGAGCGCTGTCTTTTGAGAAACAGCCCTGCGAGCCTCCAGCGCGCGGCGCGCCTCCTCCTGGCCCCCGCGCCGCAGCGCCCGGCAGGCCTCCTCCGCGGCGCGCACGGCGTCCTCCAGGGCACCGGCGGCGTCCAGGCGGAGCAGGCGGCTGGGCGGCAGGGCCCCCGGCGCCCGCCCGTGCACGTGCCGCCGGGGGGCGGAGGAAGGCAGGCGGCAGGGGGCACGAAGATGAGCTCGCGGGACACAGGCGGGCCCCCGGGGGCAGGAGAGCGGCCGTCACGGAGGGAGGAAGAAACGGCGCAGACACAAACTTTTGGAGGTCCGCGCGGGTTTCTTGGCTCTGGGCTGGAACCCCCTGCCTGGCGCGCGGAGCGCGCCAGGGGCGGCGCCAAAGGCGCCGCCAGGGGGCGCCAGCGCGGATCCAAGAAATCCGCGCGGACCGTCGACAGTTTATGTGTATGCCGTTGTTTGCTCTGCGACGCCAGGAACATGACCCCCCCCGCTGGCCGACCTGAAGACCATCCGAGGGTGCCCTCCCCCGCGATGCATAAAAGCACCCAACAAGCACGAAGACCATTAGAGCACCCTCCCCGAACCGACCTCCATCCTATGCGTCGGTCCGACTGTGGGCAACAAGACGTGAGCGACGAAGAGAAACGTTGTCTCACGCGAGATGGCATAGCGACCTTACGCGAGGGCCACCAGCGCGGCACGCCAGAACTGGAAACGAGGGCGCTCGCGCGCGACCTTACGCGGGCTGCTGACGGCCATGTTTCTGCGTGGCTCATGCGAGCCCTGTCCCAGCAGGTCAGATTTCTGAAATGCCAGGTGGGGTTCAGAATGCGGGGGATGTCTGCAGCCATCTGCACCCCAGCGCGGGTGTCGACGGGGACGCCCAAAAACCTCGACCCTCGACCCTCAACCCGGAGGAGGAGGGGAAGAAGGAGGAGGAGGAGGAGGAGGAGGAGGAGGAGGAGGATGAGGATGAGGAGGAGGAGGAGGACGATGAGGAGGAGGTGGAGGGGGGGTAGGGGAGGAGGAGGAGGAGGAGGAGGAGGAGGAGGCGGAGGAGAGGGGATGGAGGAGGAGGAGGGAGGAGGAGGAGGAGGAGAGGAGGAGGAGGAGAGGAGGAGGATGAGAGGAGGAGAGAGGGAGGAGGAGGAGGAGGAGGAGGAGAGAGGAGGAGGAGGAGGAGAAGGAGGAGGGAGGAGGAGGGGGGGAGAGGAGGAGGAGGACGAAAAGAAGGGGGAGGAGAGGGAGGAGGAGGAGAGAGCGAAAGGAGGAGGAGGAGGAGGAGGAGGAGGAGGCGGGAGGGGGAGGAGGGAGGAGGAAGAAGGGAGAGGAGGAGGAGGAGGAGGAGGAGGAGGAGACGAGGAGGAGGAGGATGAGGAGGAGGAGGAGTGGAAGAGGGGAAGGAGGAGAGGAGGAGGGAGGAGGAAGAGGAGGGAGAGGAGGAGGGGGAGAGGAGGAGGAGGAGGAGCAGAAGGAGAGGAGGAGAGAGGAGCGAGGAGGAGGAGGAGGCGAGGAGGGAGGAGGAGAGAGGAGAGGAGGAGGGAAGAGGAGGAGGAGGAGGAGGAGGGGGAAGGAAGGAGGGAGGTGAAGGAGGAGGAGGAGAAGGAGGAGGAGTCGAGGAGAGAGGAGGCGGAGGAGGGGCGGTGGGGAGGGGAGGAGGAGGAGAGAAGGAGGAGGAGGAGAGGAGGAAGTAGAGGAGGAAAGAAGGGAGGGAGGAGCAGGAGGTCAGGAGGAGGAGGAGGAGGAGGAGGAGGAGGCGAGGAGAGGAGGAGGAGGAGGAGGAAGAGGAGGAGGAGAGGAAGGAGGAGGGAGAAGGAGGAGGAGGCAGGGAGGGGAGGAGGAGGAGGGGGAGGAGCAGGACCGTGCGGAGCGGCAACGCAACGTCACTTGGACTCGGAGGGCCCCCTCGGATCTTCCTCGGGCCGGCTCTGCGGCCCCCCCCCCCTCCGGCCTGGGGCGCCGGAGAAGGCGCCCGCGCGCGGCGCCGGGAGGCAGCGCCCGGTTCGGGCGAAAGGGGGGATAACAAAGAGGGGGTCTGAGAATCAGCTCACGTAGCTGATTTTCCCGGCGCCTCCCGGCGCCGGGAGGCGCCCATGAATCGAGGAATGGGCCTGGCGGCGGGGCCGAAACCAGCTGCATGCAGCAAATTTCGTAACCCCCCCTTTCCTTATCCCCCCCTTTCGTCCGGCCCGAGAAATCCGCACGGGGCCCTGGGGAACGAAGAGCCACGGTGTGGGCGCTGGAGAAGGAACCCTCAGATAGGGAATCCACGGTCTGGAAGCCAGCGGAACGCCCATCGTGGATTGGCCTTGGACATCATCGCCGCCCTCGTCGGAGGAGGGATCCCCCAGGGTCTGAAGCCTCCTGGGCACATTCCTCCACTGACGCCCCCGCCTACTGATGCCACCGCTGCTCTGGCCACTCCCTGCGCCTCTCCAGGGGCGCGTTCTGGCCAGGTCTTCGAGGCGAGTCCGGCCGCGGCGACATGGGGAGGGCAACGAAATCGGCATCCTTCCTTATCTGGCGTTCTGTCGGCGGTGGATAAGCCTCCCGTTAGTAAACCACCCTTTAGTGAAAACGGCCTGGGGCCGAAACCGACGGACCTGGGCCCGCAAAAATGACGGCCGCGACGCCCTCTCGCGAACCGAAAACAGCCAATTCGCTAATCGACGTGTCAGGGTAGGAGGTTTGTCAACCTCCGATTCTGCTAAAAGGGAGGGTCCTCACGGTTTTAGAAAGACAGGGGAAGAGCCCCACGGAAGGGCACGGAGGGACCAAAACCGACCGTCCTGGCAGCCGTTTCGCTTGAGGCCCACGGTTTATCCAGGAATCGTGCTCTCGCCGCACGGCCGCCGAAATGTTTGGTCCACACGGCGACGATCAGTCAGTCAGTGAGTCAGTGAAGCCTGGCGCCCAGACGGCGCATGGCAGATCAACGTACATTAGACTGAGGTAGGAAGCGGATGAGAGCCAGCATGAAAACGGCCACTGGGCCACTGGAATCAACATAACTGCAATGCTACATGACTTCTCGTTACATGACCGCATGCTGCGGTCATCTAACGATCTCTGGTACAAAAATGCACTGCGGTGCACTTGGCCGCAATCTCAACCCATATCCCGGCTGCATCGCCTCTTCCTTAAGGCTTCCCGGCCGTGTTCCTCCTACTCCTCGACGCGCTTCTTCTCCTTTGCTTTGGGGAGCACAAACATAAAAACTCGGAGGTCCGCGAGGATTTCTTGGATCCGCGCTGGACCCCCCTTCCCGGCGCGCGGAGCGCGCCAGGGGCGGCGCCGGAGGCGCCGCCAAGGGGGTCCGGCCCGGGTCCGAGAAATTCAGGCGAATCACGGAGTTCTTGTGCATGTCATGATTCGTTCCCCTATGCAAAGGAGAAAAGGCGCGCCGAGGAGTGGGAGAAGTCCGCGCGGACCACGGAACTTTTCTGCTTGCGTCATGCCTCGTTCCCCTGTTGCTGGCATCAGGCTGCTTTGCCGTACCTGCGCCGTCTGTGCCTGCGCCCCTCCGGCGCATTGAACGTCGGCCAGACGGCCCGGTCGTAGTAGCGCCGCAGGTGCGCCTCCTCCTCGGGCGTGCGCCTGCTGCGCGCCACGCGGCGCTCGCGGCAAAGCTCGCGCGCCTGCTGACCCGCCCCGAGCCCACCCCCGTCCCAAAGGGCTAGGTCGGGCCTGTCCCCCTACAGGGAGATTTTGGGCGAACAGCGAACAATCCCCCCCAACATACCCCCCAAATAGTCAAACATAATTTAAAAATCGTCCCCCGACTATTGTACCTACTTGCGAATATACCCCCTGTAGAGGGACAAGCCCGTAACCTTAGGGCCGGCAGGCCCAGGGCGACGGCAATCCGAGGGACGAGCCCTCCACGGCGATGGGGATCCCGAGGATGATCCTTCGGCGGCTGGGGTTTGGCCCGCCCAGGGCGTGGCCGTCCCGGGAGCGCCCCGCGCAGTCGGGCGCGAGCGAGCGCGACAGTCATCACCCACGCCAGGCCCACGCCGCACCGACTGTCGAGGACGTGCTGACCGGGGTCAGCGCCCACCCGGGTCAGCCGGGGCCACGGCGCACACGGAGGACGGCCACGAAGCAGCTGCCAACCCTGTGTCAGCCGAGGGAAGGTACTGGAAGAATCCTCAAGATCGGCACCGAGGTAAGATGGTGCCAACCTCAGGGATGGGGGATGTGTTCCAGGCGGGCAACCTGCGCATCCCCGAGCCGCAGCAGCGGGTCCAGGAACACGCAGAAGTTGAGCAGCGGGGCCAGGGAGCTCTCCTTTCTCTCTCTCTCTCTCTCTCTTTCCCTCTCCTTCTCTCTCTCTCTCTCTCCCTCTCCCTCTCCCTCTCTCCCTCTCACTCTCTCTCTCTCTCTCTCTCTCTCTTTCTCGGGGGGCGAAACATCAAGAGGCAAAGATGCCGAAATAGCTGCTCGTCCTGCGAGTCGTCGCCACCATGGACGGAGGCTCCTTTCAAATGCAGGTCCGAAGGAGTTCGGGGAGAGCTCGGAGACTAGCAATGATTATCAGTAGCTGCTTGGCACAACTAACAGCAAACAATTATCCGACGATCTGATTGTTTCAACAACACTTTTTCCCCAACAGTCCTGTGGTGTTGTCCTCGGATAACACAAAGACAGCGCCCCGCGTTCTTCTTCTCTTCCTCCTCCTCCTCCTCCTTCTCCTCACTCTCCTCCTCCTACTCCTCCTCACCCTCCTGCTGCCCCCCTCCTCCTCCCCCTACTTACTTCTGTTCTCCGCATCCATCTACCACTTCGGTACACCCCTCAGACGTTTCGTGGCCCCCTAAAGAGCTCCACCGAAAGTCCTAATGGCACCGTCATCATGCGCCCCCGCCACCCATTCGGCACACCCCTCACATGTTCCGTGGCCCCATATGGGGCTCCACCGAATGTCCCCGTGGCACCGTCAGCATGCGTCCCCGCCGCCCTTTTCGGCACAACCCCCACACGCTTCGTGGCCCCATAGGGAGCTCCACCGAAGGTCCCAATGGCACCGTGCGCGTGCGCATCTGTCGCCCATTTCGGCACACCCCTCACACGCTTCGTGGCCCCATAATGGGGCTCCACCGAAAGTCCCAATGGCACCGTCAGCATACGCCCCCGCCACCCATATGAAATATTTCGGCACACCCCTCATACATGTAAGAGAAGTACGAAAGTCCCAATGGCACCGTCCGCGCGCTTCAGCGCTACCCATTTCGGCACACTCCTTGTGGCCCCACAAAGAACTCCACCGAAAATCCCAATGGATCCGTCAGCATCCGTCCCTGCCACCCGTCTCGGTAAACCCCTCACACGCCTTGTGGCCCCATAGGTAGCTGAACTCCACCGACAGTCCAAATCGCACCGTCAACATGCGTCCCCGCCACCCGTTTCGGCACACCCCTGACACGTGTCGTGGCCCCCGTCAGAAGCTTCATCGAAGGTCCCAGTGGCACCGTCAACATGCGTCCCCGCCACAAGTTTCCAGCACACCCCTCACATGCTCCTTGGCCCTAGGGAGCCCCACCAGAGGTCGCAGGTCCGAGTGGCACCGTCCGCAGGCGTCACAGCCACCCATTTCGGCACACCCTTCACATGTTTCGTGGCCCTATGTGTAGCTCCAACGAACGTCCCAGTGGCACCGTTCGCATGCGCTCCCACCACCAAGTTCGGCACACACGCACACCACACGATTCGTAGTCCCGTAGGGAGCTCCACCGAAGACGACAGTCACAACTGCGCTACTCACGGCTGCATATGGTTGGGTCCTTCGCCAGGCTACCCTCTGGGGGGATTTGGGATCTTTCGAGGCCAGGGGCCATCAAACACTAATCTGGGGAGCGCATTGGTCCCACGAGCAGGGTGGGGACCTCTGGAGCGGCGCATCGAAAAAACCATCTCGGCGGATGTCCGGGAACGGCCCGCACGGTGTGGGCACCGCACGTTTGGGAGCCCGCGGCCCTCCTCGGGGGCCAGAAGAAGATCGCTCGCCCCTGGGAAAGGAGGAAGCGTGAGCCGCCAGCCGGGTTCGCTTCGTAACCTTAGGTCGGGCCTGTCCCCCTACAGTGGGATTTTGGACGAAAGATGAGAAATACCCCAAACATGCTCAAAAGATGCCCCAACATACTAAAAACAAATAGTCCCCGGACTATTTTTGGACTATTTTTGAATATCCCCCCTGTAGAGGGACAGGCCCGACTTAATCGTAACCCCACCAGTGGCCCAGCGCCCTTCTCTACAAGAAGAACCAATAACGACACAGGCAACAACCTTCGGAGCTTCGAACGGATTTCCTGGATCGGCGCGGGCCCCCCCCTCCCTGGCGCGCGGAGTGTGCCAGGGGCGGCGCCGGAGGCGCCGCCAGGGGGGCCCAGCGCCGATGCAAGGAATCCGCGCGGAGTTCCAGCAGTTCTGTTTACACAACTGTGTTGCGCTGTGCTGCGTGTGCGAGGAAGCAGGCCAGAGGGCGGGCTGGAAGAAAATCGCTCGCCACTGGAGACAGGGGGGGGCGCGCGACCGCGGCCAAAGCTCGCTTCGCAAGTCCACCAGTCCCAGACATTCGCCGAGGTATGATCTTTAACCCCACGGCCAGAACTCTGGATCTCCTCCCCTGGGTAGGTTTTTCGCCCCAGATGCATCTTTGACGACCCCGAGGCCCGAGAGTTGGCCCCAGAAGCGGACGTCGAGGAGAAACTCGCGGACTGAAGAAATCGTGTCGTCGGAGCCCTGGCCCAAAGTCCCTCTGCGGATCCCCGATTTGGGCAGGGACCGACCGTCCCGGCATTCCTATAGTCCTGCCACGAGACATTCTTAGGACCCAAAAAGTTCTGAGAACTGAAACAAGGTTCTCAGAACATAAGCCCGATGTGGTAGCACAAGACAGCCTCCGCCAGAACTGTTCTAAGACCATTTCGTGGAAACCACAACAAGTACTTAGAACATTGTTTGGTAGGGCTATAGGCGAGCCAGGACGCTTCGCCACTGCTTGACCGATCCTCGGCCACCAGCAAATAATGCTCCACCACGACGGTTCCGGCGCAGCCCGAGGCAGCTGCGCCGGCCGCGGCCCTGGAGATGGCGCACTTCAAGGCTGTCTCGGCGGCGGCCCAATTGACGTTCGACGGCGCCTCTCGAGGAACAGCAAACAGCAAAAACATAATGTGGGCCAGCGTGAACCACAAGCAGGCAGTTAAGACATGTGGTGCAAGCTGAAGGGCTCAGCCGAATGTCCCTGATCATCACGGGGTGGGGATAGTAAAGTTCGGAACCCGGCGGGGATACCACATGTATCGTCCCGGCAACTCGTATGTACGGATGTAGGGATGGATGTGCTCCTCGGGTGCCCAGAATCCTCTGGCGCTCCTCTGGGGAAAAACAATAGTAGTAGTAGTAGTAGTAGTAGTAGTAGTAGTAGTAGTAGTAGTAGTAGTAGTAGTAGTAGTAGTCGTAGTAGTAGTAGTAGTAGTAGTAGTAGTAGTAGTAGTAGTAGTAGTAGTAGTAGTAGTAGTAGTAGTAGTAGTAGTAGTATTATAGTAGTAGTAGTCTGGTAGTAGTAGTCGTAGTAGTAGTAGTAGTAGTAGTAGTAGTAGTAGTAGTAGTAGTAGTAGTAGTAGTAGTAGTAGTAGTAGTAGTAGTAGTAGTAGTAGTAGTAGTAGTAGTAGTAGTAGTAGTGGTAATAGGATTAGTAGTAGTAGTAGCGTAGTAAGTAGTAAGTAGTAAGTAGTGAATAGTAGTAGCCGGAGTAGTAGTAGTAGTAGTAGTAGTAGTAGTAGTAGTAGTAGTAGTAGTAGTAGTAGTAGTAGTAGTAGTAGTAGTAGTAGTAGTAGTAGTAGTAGTAGTAGTAGTAGTAGTAGTCGCAGTAGTAGTAGTAGTAGTAGTAGTAGTAGTAGTAGTAGTAGTAGTAGTAGTAGTAGTAGTAGTAGTAGTAGTAGGTAGTAGTAGTAGTAGTAGTAGTAGTAGTAGTAGTAGTAGTAGTAGTATTAGTAAGTAGTAGTAGTAGTAGTAGTCGTAGTAGTAGTAGTTAGTAGTAGTAGTAGTAGTAGTAGTAGTAGTAGTCGTAGTGGTAGCAGGTAGGTAGGTATAGGTAGGTAGTAGTCGAAGGTAGGCAGGCAGGCAGCAGCAGGTGGTAGGTAGGTAGGTAGTAGTAGGTAGGTAGCAGTATAGTAGTAGTAGTAGTAGTAGTAGTAGTACTACTAGTAGTAAGTAGTAGTAGTAGTAGTAGTAGTAGTAGTAGTAGCAGCAGTAGTAGTAGTAGTAGTAGTAGTAGTAGTAGTAGTAGTAGTAGTAGTAGTAGTAGTAGTAGTAGTAGTAGTAGTAGTAGTAGTAGTAGTAGTAGTAGTAGTAGTAGTAGTAGTAGTAGTAGTAGTAGTAGTAGTAGTAGTAGTAGTAGTAGTAGTAGTAGTAGTAGTAGTAGTAGAAGTAGTAGTAGTAGTAATAGTAGTCTTAATAATAGAAAAAGTCGTAGTAGTGGAAGAAGCAGTAGTAAGAGCAGTAGTAGTAGTAGTAGTAGTAGTCGTAGTAGTAGTAGCAGTAGTAGCAGTAGTCGTAGTCGTCGTAGTCGTCGTAGTAGTAGTAGTAGAGGTAGTAGTAGAGGTAGTAGCAGTAGTAGTAGTAGTAGTAGTAGTAGTAGTAGTAGTAGTAGTGGTAGAAGCACTGGTTGTAGTCGTAGCAGCCGTAGTAGTAGTATTATCACTATCATTAGTAGTAGTAGTAGTAGCAGTAGTAGTAGTAGTAGTAGTAGTAGTAGTAGCAAACGTAATAGTAGCAGTGAAAATAATAGGAGTAGTAGTGGATGTATTAGTGATAATAATAGCTTGAGTAACAGAAACAATTGTAGGAACCGTAGTAGTAGCAGTAGTAGTATTAGTAGTAGTCGTAGTAAGACTAGTGGTGGTACGAGTAAAAGTAGTAGTACTAGAAATAGAACGTGTCGTATTAGTCGCACGATCCGTCGTGTTACTATTGTCATTATTATTAGTAGTAGTAATAGAAAAAATAATACTAGTAAGAGTGGTAGTTGTAGTAGTAGCCATACTGGCAGTAGTAGTAGTACTCGTAGTAGTAGTGATAGATGGCGATGGCGCTGCCCAACCCACCGCCGATCGTGGACGTGAAGGGCACCGTCGACACTACCGCGTTGTTCGAGAACGACCCAGTGCGCTTTCCGACCATTCTCGACAGGTTCAAGGGCTACTCCATGGGACCCGGACCCGAGAAGCGGGTGTTCAGATTGTACGCTGGCTCGCCCCGATGGTTGCCCCTCATTCACGAGGGCAACTTCACGATGCGGGGAGACCCGGACAACAAGAGGTTCCACCAGGTGTGCTCTTATGTAGTCGCATGTGTTCGTATGTGTCTTATGCTTTATGTGCGCTCTCGTGTGCTTTACAAGAGGTGGTCCCAGTGGCTACTCTCGCATGCGGTTCCCCCACCCAGGGCAGCGCTTCGTGGACCCATAGGGAGCTCCACCGAAGGCCCCAGTGGCGCAGCTCGCATGCGGTTCCCCCACCCAGGGCAGCGTTTCGTGGCCGCATAGGGAGCTCCACCGAATCCCCCAGTGGCGCAGTTCGCATGCGGTTCCCCCGCCCGGGGCAGCGCTGGTGCTCTCGCATGCGGTCCCCCCACCCAGGGCAGCGCTTCGTGGCCACATAGGGGGCTCCACCGAAGGCCCCAGTGGCTGCTCTCGCATGCGCTTCCCCCGCCCAGGGCAGCGTTTCGTGGCCTCATAGGGAGCTCCCCCTATAGGACCACGAAACGCTTCCCCGGGCGGGGAAACCGCATGCGAGAGCAGCCACTGGTGCCTTCTGTGGAGCTCCCTATGGGGCAACGAAACGCTGCCCTGGGTGGGGGAACCGCATGCGAGAGCAGCCACTGGGGCCTTCGGTGGAGCTCCCCATGGGGCCACGAAGCGCTGCCTGGATGGGAGAACCGCATGCGAGAGCAGCCACTGGGGCATTCGGTGGAGCACCCTATGGGGCCACGAAGCGCTGCCCTGGGTGGGGGAAGCGCATGCGAGAGCAACCACTGGGGCCTTCGGTGGAGCTCCTTATGCGGCCACGAAACGCTGCCCTGGGTGGGGGAACCGCATGCGAGAGCAGCCACTGGGGCCTTCGGTGGAACCTCCTATGTGGCCACGAAGCGCTGCCCTGGGTGGGGGAACCGCATGCGAACTGCGCCACTGGGGCCTTCGGTGGAGCTCCCGATGGGGCCACGAAGCGCCGCCCTGGGTGGGGGAACCGCATGCGAGAGCAACCACTGGGGCCTTCGGTGGAGCTCCCTATGAAGCTACGACGCGTGTGAGAGGTGTGCCGAGAGCAGAGGCAAGGAGGGGGAGGAGGGAGGAGGGGGAGGAGGGAGGAGAGGAGGAGGAGGAAGAAAGGTGGGAGGCGGGGCGCTGTCTCTTCAAAACGAGGACCCAACACCACAGGATGGTTGGGAGCCATGTGTAGTAGCAGTAGTAGTAGTAGTAGTAGTAGTAGTAGTAGTAGTAGTAGTAGTAGTAGTAGTAGTAGTAGTAGTAGTAGTAGTAGTGGTAGTAGTAGTAGTAGTAGTGGTAGTAGTGGTAGTAGTAGTGGTAGTAGTAGTAGTAGCAGTAGTAGTAATAGTAGTAGTAATCGTAGTGGTAGTGGTAGTAGTAGTAGTAGTAGTAGTAGTAGTAGTAGCAGCAGCGGTAGTGGTAGAAGTAGTACTAATAGTTGCCGTAGTAATAGTAGTAGAAGTCGTAGTAGTAGTAGTAGTAGTAGTAGTAGTAGTAGCAGTAGTAGTGAGAGTAGTAGTAGTAGTAGTAGTAGCAGTGGAAGTAGTCGTATGTCGAAGTAGGATTCGCCGTGGTCGTAATAGTAGTGGTGGTGTGTGGTCCTAGTGATTGTACGTCGTTGATGTAGCAGTAGTAACAGCCGTATTAGTACTAGTAGTAGTAGTAGTAGTAGTAGTAGTAGTAGCAAGAGCGGTCGTAGCAGTAGTAGCCATGGTGGACGGATTTGTAATAGTGGCTATTAGTTAGTAGTGCGCAACCCGCAATGTGTAACGCAAGAAAAGGTATTACTAGTCGTAGAAACAACAATAAACAGACTGGTGGAAGTAGAGATGGTAGTAGTAGTCGTAGGACTACTGTACTAATAATGATACTAGCGGCACTATCAGAAATAATGCGCGTCGTAGTCGTACTTGCAATAGTGGTAGTCGCAATAGGGGTAACAGTTGTAGTAGCAGTGGTAGAAGTAGTGCTTGTACGAGTAGTGGTCGTAGCAGTAGAAGTAGTAGTAGTAGTAGTAGTAGTAGTAGTAGTAGTAGTAGTAGTAGTAGTAGTAGTAGCAGTAGTAGTAGTAGTCGTAGTAGTAGTAGTAGTAGTAATCGTAGTAGTAGTAGTAGTAGTAGTAGTAGTAGTCGTAGTCGTAGTAGTCGTAGTAGTAGTACTAGTAGTAGTGGTAGTAGTAGTGGGAGTAGTAGTAGTAGTAGTAGTAGTAGTAGTAGTACTAGTACTAGTAGTAGTAATAGTAATAGTGGTAGAAGTCGTAGTAGTAGCAGAAGTAGTAGTAGTAGTAGTCGTAGTCGTAGTCGTAGTAATAGTAGTAGTAGTAGTAGTAGCAGTAGCAGTAGTAGTAGTAGTAGTAGTAGTAGTAGTAGTAGTAGTAGTAGTAGTAGTAGTAAGTAGTAGTAGTAGTAGTAGTAGTTATAGTAGTAGTATACGCAGTAGTAGTAGTAGTAGTAGTAGTAGTAGTAGTAGTAGTAGTAGTAGTAGTCGGTAGTAGTAGTAGTAGTAGTAGTAGTAGTAGCAGCAGTAGCCGTCGTAGTAGTAGTAGTAGTAGCAGCAGCAGTAGTAGTAGTAGTAGTAGTAGTAGTAGTAGTAGTAGTAGTAGTAGTAGTAGTAGTAGTAGTAGTCGTAGTAGTAGTAGTAGTACGAATAATAAAACGACTAGAAGTAGTCATGATCGGGTGGGAAAGAAAGGAGGGGAGGAAAGAGGGGGGCGCCAGATCTGGTCTTCAGACAAATCAAATTCGGGACCTAAGGTTTTTCCATCGGGAAACCTATTGTTTATGTTATGCTTGCTTTCAAGGCAAACAAGCGCAACGACGAAACATTAACAGGCGACAACGTGGCAAAACTTTGCCGGACCCGTCCAATTCTTTAACAAGATCAGCAATGAACCCTGACTGCAAGCACTGTTCCGGGCACTTTCTTAAAGGTCTGCGCGGATTTCCTGGACGGGCCCTGGGCCTCCCTGGCGTACACCGCGCGTTAAGGAGGGGGCCCAGACACGATCCAAGAAATCCGCGCGGGCCTCCGAAAGTTACTGACTATGCCGCTTGTTCATCTTCAGGCCTCGCACGCCTCATCGCGTGTCGCGTACGGCGCGTATGGCAGGACAAAGTGTGCCGGGTCCTCCGACACCAGCTCCGCGCCCAGGCGGGCCGCCAACGCGGAGGCCAGCGTCGACTTGCCGCTGCCGCTGGGGCCCGAAATGCCGACGACGAGCACGGGAACCTGGCCACCAGAGCAGCCAGACTGCGGCTCTGTGTACGGCCCGGGCGAGGTCGACCTGCAGACTGCGGCGTCGCTGGGGCAGGCGTCGGCCGGGGCCGCCATGGCGTCGACAGCTCGAGCCCAGGCGGCGCCACTTTCTGCAGTTTTGCCAACCTGGCGTGCGCACATACAGGATGGAACTGGCGTCAAATTCCATCGTTCTATTCTGCAGTCGAGACATCATCCGATTCACTGTGAGAGTCTGGACGTTGAGTAATCACCGTGCCCACCAACGCCATCGATGGTGGGACCGAAGTGAAGCGGACTGCCCCCAACCAGAAATTCGGCTTTGGCTTCGGTTCGTGTGGCGCGTGCGGGCGAGGCGAAACTGCGCGAGGGAGAGGGATTGACCTGCCCAGCCAGGAAGATGTCACGTCAAATTGCTTCGTGCCCGTGCCTGGTGCGTGTCTCTTCTGTCGGCGGCGGGACTTCTCAGGTGCCCTCGGGACTTCAAAGAAGCCCTCTGTGACTTCGGAGAAGTCTCGGAAAGCTGCTCATAGGGTCAGGAGGCCTCCTGTGCCCTCTGAAAAGGCCACCCTCCTCTGCCTTGCCCATCTGGAGGTTCGACCCATCGTCGCACAACCCCCCGACGTCGCAATTTGTTCACAATGCGGACCCCTGGAGGTCTCGATCCATTCCATCGGACTGGTTGTGCCTCCCCAGTCGATGTTTGACGGTCCTGGGGCCTAGTAATGGCCCCGCAGGTCGATCATGATCAACGACTCGATGGAGTCTGGGGAAAGCTGCCCCGTGGCTGTCACGTGCCCCGCCCGCATCCCGCCATAGTCCTAGGGCTGTCCATGGGCTGGAATGTGGGTGTCCTGCGCGGCTGTCCCCGTGCGGCTGTCCCGTCCAGCTGTCCCGTGGCAGCCCCGTGGTCAAACGGGTAGGGCAGTAGTTTTAAATCGGGCGTGTCCCCCTACAGGCGGATTTTGGACGAAAAATTCGCCAGCCCAACGGGCCAGAGGCGTGCTAAGATCTCCGGTAACTGGTTAACAATATTTCTGGTTCGCGCGCGCGGGGCGTCCCCTGGGGGTCCCCCGGCGAAAAATACCCCGACCGCCGCCCGACCGCAGCCCGGCAACTGCTACTCAGAGATGGTTTTCCTCCTGGGTGCGGTCTGAGGCCCCCCAGAGCGCGCCAGGAGGTCCCCAAGAGGCCTCCAAGACAGCCCCAAAGCGCTCCGAGTCACCGAACGAGCGGTCCAAGACGCTTAAGATGGCCCTCATACGGCCCTCGAGGCCGCCGAGAAGCCCCAAGAGAGCCTCAAGAGGCTCTCCAAGAGGGCTCCATCAAGCAAAAATCGTCCCATTCCTTAGGGGAAACTTATATTTTTCGCATACAGGACGTCGGGGGTTCACAGCGTCCAAACGTGCCCAAGAGGCACCCAAGATCGCCCCAAGACGGCCCAAAAAGCCACCAAGATAAGCCCAAGAGGGCCCAAGAGGGCCCCAAGACAATCCCATAGACCTCCAAGATGGCCCACGACGCCTCCAAGACGGCTCTAAGAGCGAGCCCAGACGGGGCACCCGAACGGACATTTCGAGCTGGAGAGGTCCCCAGGAGGCTCCAAGAGGCCGCCAACACGCCTTCAAGAGGCCCACGGAGGCCCTCAAAAGGCCCTCAAGAGGCCCCAAGAGGCCTCCCAGAGGCTCCCAAGAAGCTTCGAAGAGGCTCCCAAGAGGCCCCACGGAGCCTCCTGTGGCCTCCTTGCGCCTCTCCTGGGAAGCTCTGAGACTCTGTGAGGCCCTCCATGGGCCGTCTTGGGGCTCTCTTGGGCTGTCCTGAGGCGCTCTGAAACCGTTTTGAAGCCCTCTTGAGAGCCTCTGGAAACGTTTTGGGGCCGCCGCCCCCTGCAGCTCCGCACTGCCGACGACCTCTCGGCCAGGCCACCGCGGTGCGCAAGATGGGCCGGCGGAACGAGCGAAGCGATTCAATAAGAAATATGCAAGACAGTACCCCCCCAAAAACGAGCATAAATAGCAAAAAAGCCCCCTGACTGTTTTAACTATTCTTGGATGTCCCCCCTGTGGAGGGACAGGCCCGACTTACCATTAGTTGGCTTCCTTCGCGCGCGCCGAGCGCACGCCAAGCTCGTGCATCCAGCACGTACCCACTATGTGGCAGCAGCAACGGTCATAAAGAGCATACGCCTCTTCGCCGAGCGCGCATCGCCACGCTTTCTTCGCCCCACGGGCGGCGCATCTTATTTTTGTTATCTGGGAGGAGAGGACATGGGGCACGCGCGATCACTGAATCACATCACGGCGCGACTGGCACAGCAGCGCGAAGCCGAAGACCGCCAAGCAAACTGGGATCGCTGCACGGGCCGACTTGCCCCGGGCAAGCTCATGCAAAACACGTCGGTCGGAAGAAGTAGGTAGAAACATGAAGTAGGAAGGCGGAGAAAGTGGACATAACATGAAGTAGGAAGGTAGAAACATGAAACATGAAGGCCCTCCCAGAGAATAACAAAACACAGCAACGGCGTGCCGATTCTTGAAGTAGAAAGACGCTTGAAATAGATTGGGATCTGGGAATCCAAGAATACCTACCTTCAGCGACCGGCGTGTACTCGCACAGTGCCTACTCGCAAACGTCAGAAAAAAACACCTGTCTGCTTTGATGAGATCTAACGTAGATCCCCCACGAGGGATCCAGGCCATTTGCGAGCAGCTACTTTGCGAGTAGTGGAGCGCACTCGCCGACCCCTGTTACGCATCCAGCACATGCAGCCAGAGCACACACCAAGACCATGACTCGACACCATGCGCCAAGACCACACATCAAACCATACCGTCAGGTGAGCATGACAGGCGTCACGGCGCCACGCCGTCTACATGCATACAGGACATACACCAAGAGTACTCACCAATTCCATATACCGACAACCTATCCATCGCCGACGCTGGCATATCCACCGACACGGCGTGTGTGAGACGATATCGTCGTCGTCGTCGTCGGCGTCGTCGTTTTCTCCAGTCCCCCCCAAAAAAGACGAACATAAAAAAAGTCCTGGTAAGTTCAGTCGTCGTCGTCGTTTTTGCCAGTCCCCCCCCGAAAAAGACGAACATGAAAAGGAAAAGTCCTGGTGAGCTCATCGTAGTTAAGTCGATCCCCTCCTAAGATGGGAAGGGGGGATACGGGGGGCAGAACGGGGGGCCCCGGGCCAGCTTACCGCCCCCCCCCCCGGGGTCCCGGTGGGTCTCGGGGGGGCTCCCGCCCTGTGGACAGCGAAGGGGCAAGGGGAAGACAACCCCCTGCGCGGGGGTCGCCCGCAGGGGTCCCCTGGGGAGGTTCCGCCCGTGGGGGGAGGGGGTGGCCCCAAGCCAGAATTTCCCCCCCCCCCCCCCCCCCCCCCCCCCCCCCCCCCCCCCCCCCCCCCCCCTCGGGGTCCCTCAGGAAAGTCCCGCCTGCGGGGCCGGCGGCACGGCAGTAATGCCTTCACAATATGCCACGATCGTGCGTAAGCCACATACACACAAGGCAGAAACCACGGACATGCATCGGCAACTTGTGCCAACAACGCACATCGTGAGCATACACCGAGAACCTACGGCAACCACAGATGTGAAACAAGAGCAGGCGCCACGAACACGCCCATAGCCTATAGCACACACGGAAACCTCACGCACACACCTGACATCAACATTCGCATTCGCATTCGCACTCTCATCAGGACATGGTCCTTGCCCCCTTGGGCCGGAGCGTGGAGGTCGTAACCTCTCTACTTATGCCTACACGTGCTGTGGAAAGCAGAGGCCAGGCAGCACTGGCGAACTTCCCTGCTGGAGTTGGTTCCGGCGCGGGTGTCGGTTGGCGTCGTGTTGGCAGGTGTCTTGGTCGTCTTGCTCGGGTGCTGGGCTCCCGTCGATGAGGTGAAGTCGGACTCCATGCTCATCCAGGTGGTCGTGTCGGAGGCTAGGTAGATCCACTTAACATCATTCATGGCGTCACTCAAACCGTCGTTCGTGCGCGTGGTCGTAATCCGCTGTTGGATGTAGTCGTGAATTTCGTCCTCCCACCGTTTAGTTGTCGACCTTGTTCGCGCTGTCCTCGTTGTCCCTCAACGAGACCAGGATGCCAGTGAGCAACTTGCTGAGTCCATCGGGTGGCGCTATGACGGGCTATTGTGTGGACCTGTCTCCACAGAAGTCGTCGCTGTTTTGTGACCCATGGCTCCATATCGCGTAAGTCCATCGAATAATTCGCTCTGTGTGTGCGCGGCGGATGAAGTCGAGCCATGGCTCGGTAAGGTCGTCAGCGATCAGGTTGGTCAGATCGACCGCCTCGGGGAGTTCGGGTTCGTCGGGGTTGCTGCCGACGTCATCGTCAGAGGACGTGGTGGCAGGTGAACTGGTGGTCGTTAAAGTAAAAGCCGCGGAGGTGGCGGAAGTGCTGTCCGAGACTTGGCGAAGTGGTTGTAGCCTGTGCAGTGCGCTCGTTGTGGTGGTTCTTCCTGCGTCGTGGCGTGTTGATGATCATTATGATCATTATTCGTTGTGTGGTGTTGAGCGGTCCTTTCATGGACTCCGTGAGTGTCCACGTGCCCCCTCCGTACAATGCCGACGGAGTCACAATGGCGTCGAAGAGCTTGAGTCGGTGCTTCAGTGGGTAACTGTTGCTCGTGAATTCCTGCCGGTGCTGTGTGAATGCGGCCCATGCGCATTTGACCTGGTGTTGCAGTTCCACCGCCCTTGGCTCGTTGAATGCGATGGTCTGCCCGAGGTATTTGAGTTTCCCGTCGTGCGTAAAATCCAAATTTACATGCCGCGTATGTTGACTGATCGCGCGCATGCTCGGCCTGTGCGTCTGATCAAGTTAGTCATGACCTTCGTCTTCGCTGGGTGCAGTTCGAGCCCGCGGGCCGCGGCTCCAGTAACGATGTCGGCGAGCATCTCGGCGAGACGTTGGAGGGTCGGGGCCATCAACAGCACATCGTCTGCGAATCGCAGATAGCTGAGAATACTGGAGCTGGTGTCGCTGAGTTGGATGCCGCGGTGTATGTCCCGCCGTTTTGCCGTTAGTGGTGCCATGACGTGTTGCAGCACGGCGTTGAAGAGCAGGGAGCCGAGAGGATCTCCCTGTCTCGTCCCGCGGTTGAGAGCAAATGGCCGACTGTCAACGTCAGTGCGTGCTGTGGCTGTCTGGT